GTCTTCTTAAAGCAACTGCATGTTTTACAAAAGAATATTTAGAAAATAGTGAAGACAACGTTGATGAGCAATGCAGGATATCCCTTTTACAGTTTGTGATAGGGTGAAATCTGAAGATACGGCTCACCTGTTCAACCATATCCAGGTGGGTATCTTAGCTGCATGGATGAGTCCAATGGGACAAGTGTGGTACATGTGCGAAAAAGCTAAGTCAAATTTCTGATTAGATAGCCATCGCATGAATTCTTTGTTTTGTACGGTCACTGGAAAACAAAAGTTTTCTTAATCGACAACGAATGCCAAGCTTTTCCTATGTATTACATCTGCAGCCGTCAACCAGCATTCCGATAAATAATTCCATATGTTTTCGAGCACCAGGATCGAGGAATGAAAGGTCCTAAAGTATTTCAGCCTCTATTAGGTTAGTCCAGGTTTCGTAGAATTGATCAAACATACTCCAAAGACTGAGGCTTTCTGAAACTCCTCCATTGCTTTTCTTGTGAGGCCAGTCGAGGCATTCAAGGGATGCACTAAAATTATTTGAATTGGTGAACAATAAAATCTCAACTTTGTTAGAGTTTGTATGCTCGAGCAGCGTGAATAAAATGGATTGATGCAAGGTGTATTAGTTTTTAAAAAGCAATGAATTTTCTATTTATAGATAAGAACTCCAAAAACAAGTTCCGAGTTCAATTCTTGATGGGTTTGGAATAATAAATAAAAAAGCGCGAAAAGACTTCAACATTGTCAACTGTTGATATTCTTTCGCTTGGCCTTTGGGAATAAATTACGTAAAAAGCTCTTAGGTAATGGAACCATAAAATTTCCGTAATGAGATCATCTCTTGCACACATTGTAGATTTTTCATGTAACGTGCTGCGTGCAGAGGTACGGTAGGTTACTGAAAAGAGGCTTCAAATTTGTAGTTTGCTACCATAAAAACTACATTGCGCTCTTTTAAGTCGAATACTTCTCTTGATTGTTCTGTGAATTTCATTCACTACTTGAAATACGTGCCAATGCACTTGGAATAAGTTTACCTTTAACATCTGCTGAGAACTGTACATCCTTCTCCGCATCTTCCATTGTCTTCACCAGTATTACGGTAACATCGTGACCAGCCCGAGCCAGCTCTTCTGCTACCCTTTTGTTCCATCCGACCTGAAAACCTGCATTTAACAATCGACTTCACAAAGGCACTGATTATTTTGAGGTATGCTCTGTATTTTAAAAGCTATATAAAGTCGTCCGTCGTTTTTCCCATTCAGAACATAGTGGGCCCTACTAAAACTAACATTTGTACCGGAAGTCTAAGATATATGCCCATGCCTCAAATTTGGAGCTTTCAAAGGTTCTAGACGGCCTCAAGTTCGATTCTGAGATTTTTTCCATAGATTCTGCGAAAGGTTGTTTTCTTCTGTAGTGATATAGTGCGCGGCTATAGTAGGCATACTGTAGGTGATCTCCATGCACGTTCCGTGGAAGGTTAGTTTAAAGAGTTGTCTTGCGTTTTGTATTTATATATGAGGCTTGTTCATCATAAATACCCGGACTACGTCAGTACTGCGAAGTCATCTGTGTGAGATCACTACAAGTTCGCTGGATGCTTTACGTGCATGCTGACTCCGAGAATATTATTACACTGTTACATTAGCAACACAACAGCTTTGGTCAAGGGAAAGGGATAAGTAATCTTCCGGTGTGCTAAATTATTCCATCAAGCTAATTTTTAAAGTTTGTTGGTAAGTTCAAGTTAATATTGAGCGTACCATATACATCACAGTAACGTATAATAGTAGTTTGCAAAAATAGTTCTTCTTATTTGGCGTGCCCCACTGCCTTATTCGCAATGAAGTAGATTTAGTTGAAGAGCTTCTTGCTTAAATATAAAATATATTG